TTGTCTTTTGGTTTGACACTGGGTTCTGCTGATCTCTTCATTTCAGCCTCCTGTCATCTCATGAGGAGGACAGATTAGGAGCGGAGGCCCTTATCTTCTCTTCCATTATGAGGCTGGATACCCCGTGTGAGGACTTGAATGCACTCTTAAAGGACGGAGGCCTGTCCTTCCGGTCCCGACTCGGCACAGCCAAATGGCAGTTGTTAAAGGGCTCCTTGCTGTTGTAGTCTTCTTGTCGCACGGCTGTTCTGCGATGGCGCCTCTTAAACTTGTTGCCAATTCGCGCAACGCGTTTGGATATGAGATAGATGATCTCGCAGATGTTCAGGACGATGCAGAGGCCAGAAGCTCCGACCATGAAGTAGGTGAAGACCTTCTTCTCAGTGGGATGGCCGATGTAGCAGTCCACCAAGTTAGGGCAAGGCGCCCCGCTGCACTTAACCAGTCTCGGCAGATAGAAGCTGTTGTAGATGTGGTGGAGGATGTAGAGGAACGCAACCTCGATGCCCGTCTTGGCGAAGAGGCTGACCAGATAGGTCCACCACAGGCCGCCGTGCTTCTTGCCCGTGTTGGCATACAGCTTGACGCTGTCTGGGTTCTTTATCTTGTATTTGCGCTCACGGTCATCACGGTACGCCACGTGCATCACCACCATAAAAGATGGGCAGGAGATGAAGATGAGCTGCAGGGCCCACAGGCGGATGTGGGAGATGGGGAAGAAGTGGTCGTAGCAGACGTTGGCGCAGCCGGGCTGCTTGGTATTGCAGTCAAAGTCCTTCTGCTCGTCGCCCCACACTCGCTCCGCCGCCACCACGTACACCATGACCCTGAACACGAACACCACAGACAGCCATACCCGCCCGAACGCCGTAGAGTATTTGTTCACCCCACTGAGGAGGGCTTGGAAGGTCTTCCAGTCCATGTCCTTGGCTGGCAGTCAAAAACCCTTTCTCTGGAAATCCTCTGTTGCTGGTTGGAGTTTATCTTCAAACCTGGAAATGGCAGAATGAAGAATGGGTGAACATGTTTGCATTGTCTGCTGAGTACTCTGCTTTCACTCTGTGAACTCCAGGTGCCTTGCATAATACATAACCTTAAATTCTGACATTTATAAACTCTTCTTTATCTTCTAAATCTGAATGAAAGTGAAAGCAACTCCCAAAGGCCTCATTTATCTGCAGCTAGCTGACAACAACACATTTATGGGTAGGCCTCGAGCCAAATTAGTTCATGGAGAAAACAAGTTGGACCAACGATGACACATCCAGAGTTTCATGTAATTCACAAAACGCAATGGACTACACGACTTTAATGCAAATACGTATGTAATTAACATAGTAAATGCTATTAGCCTTCTGCTGTGCTTACATGTAAAAAAAAGACATCTGAATATGTATGAGTCTTTAAAAACGGCCTTTTACGCACAGACTCTATGCGTTATTTAAACATATTTTAGTGATGGATTTAGCTCTTTTCCGATAGTATGAGTTACACAATTACCCGGGACAATACAGGTTGTGTGGTTTTTTGTATACGGCCGTATCTCGTTACAGAGATGGCCGTATAAAAAACAACGAATCAACTCCTGTCCAATTGACTGGAACGCGGAAGCTAAACTCTTTTTTTTAAGACACAGCAAAGTTCATTTTGGCGAGTTTTTCCACTTACCGAAAGAAGTATTAGTCCATTATATGTTGAAAGCCACCCGATAATATGTGTTTCTGCGGGGTTTCTGGCCGCTTTAATGTCGTTTTGGTCCTATAATGCACAGATTCGTTTCCAGTCGACAGGTAGCGGAGAGCAGAGTTGAGAAATGCGCCTGTGGGTGTGGTTACAGAAAAGAGACTGGAGCCTCCCCAGATGTTCCTCTTCTCTCTCTCTCTCTCTCTCTCTCTCCTCTCTCTCTCTCTTCTCTCTCTCTCTCTCTCTCTCTCTCTCTCTCTCTCTCTCTCTCTCTCTCTCTCTCTTCTCTCTCTCTCTCTCTCTCTCTCTCTCTCTCTCTCTCTCTCTCTCTCTCCTTGACTCGGTCTCACATCCCACTGTTAGGTGGCTAGTCAAATATTGTTGGCGTAACAGGTATCACAATTCAAGGAAACCATTTTCAGACTGCCTACGGGTTTCAGGACACATGCACCAACACATTTGGCACCGGATAAACCCAATTAGAGCTCACATGGTTCACGTTAAGGATTGGCAACATAGTGACCACCAAATCCTTCCAGACACCGTTACATGAGGAAAAGCATCCTCTTCTTAGGGTTGTTTTGTGCTCATTAAAATGATGTCAGATGTCAGATTTAGGTCCATTGTTCTTTACCTTCCCTTTTTTCCAGGAAGCGTAAGAGGCAGACAGACACACCTTAAGGTGAATGCATTTCTTTGGTATTGTTTTGTTGTGCATATCTTTGACTTGTTGCAAGCTTCTAAAAGTATGGCGAGGCAACATTCTTACAGGGATTTTAAGTAGGAGTAGGATATTATAAAACACACATCATCATTATACAGGGGGAATTTGTTATCAATTCTTAAATGTCCATGTTCCTTGTTCCTCATTCTCTTTCCTCATTCATTTACTGCTCTATTCATTTTTTCCATCTGTTTCCATTACTTTAACAACAGTGCCAAAAGAGCATATTGTGTTTCCTTTATTCTTGTAGAGGCAGAACTCTTCTCAGATAACACGGTCGCAATTCATGCTATAGGCTCATCCTCAGATCTATTGTCTCCACTTCACCATCCACATGCTTTTCACGACCAAACCTTGTTTTTTTCAGACTTAACAGATAAGATATCCCTTCTAACCAGCTTTTTTGTCTCTCTTTTCTTTAGGGAAACCATCCCATCATAAGCAGTGTTTGCAGTCCTCAGAAGCTGTAAAGGGAAATTAAACATGCCATAGTTATGCCAGAGCATGCCCCTTCTTGCAGACCATTCATAGCTATTAAATCCTGTGTTGACTTTATATAAAAGGATAATATACTTGCTCATGTTTCACCAGTCTCAAGTCAAGTCAAGTTATTGACTGAATTTGCATTGCTCTGTTCAATCGCATGCTATGTTTCAATGGGCTTTTCTTCTTTCAGGCTCACAATGACAATGGCTCACAACTATTAGAGGAAGTCGGCTCAAAAACCGTAATTCACAAGGTTGAGATATAAGAGCAGTTGCAATGCCACATGCTTAGTTTGCAAACATAACTAACCTCATCATCTAACTAAATTGTGTTTTTTCCTTCACCAAAGTTCAAATGTCTGGAAAAAATGAGATGTGAAACTGACATGTAGACAGAATTCTGTCTGGCTAAAAATCCATAAGTAATTCAATTATCAGTGCACTTTTTTGTTGTATCCATGTTTGTTTCTCATATTGTATCTGTGTTCAAACCATTTCTACAATATAGAAAGCTGAATTGTATGAAAGGTTACACCATGAATAGAATGTTATAATGTGGGCTTGTCTAAAGCAAACACTTCATCTCAAAGACTCGCAGCCAACGGGGAAAAACTCTCCGAACATCAACTGCGATTGTGCTTTCAAGGAAAGTCCAGCTGTGGCGTTAAGCTTCCAACAACATCTGTATTTACTCCTGTAAAAGCTTTTTAGCAGTTCAGACTACAACAATTGAACTAGAGGTGAGGGGGAGGGTAAAGAAAAGTTGCTTCTTAGCTCCAGATGTATAACTGGTCCAGGCAGTCTGCTTCTGGGACACACCTGGAGGAATGCACCCCAACCTCTTCCAGCAGCAAGTCTCGACAAGACAACAGCAACACAACACGGGGTAAACACTTTTCACTGCTGTGGCTGTGAAAGGAAGGCAATGTACCAGAACAGAGGGAAGGCCTGGGGAGAGAAATTAAACCAGAGAATAGCTGGGAGGGTCCTTTGATGGGAGGGATTGCCCGCTTCACTTAACCACCCAGAAAGGCTGGGCAAGCAGAAAAGGGACAAAGAGAACTTCAATTATGTTTGCTTATATTTTCAGACCTTGTGACACTTAATCTAACACTTGAGAGTTTAGATCCTGTTTAGATAGGAATTGATGATTAACTCAGACTTAGTCACTTAACATAATTGTAGCACATGTGGCCCATAAGTTCTCAAATCACCCACAAAAAAACTTATTTTGCCACTTTGTTCTTTTGGATTTAGATATCCATTTTTGACATTTGTGCTACCGACCTTTTAAAGTAGAGGTGTTAAAAGTGTTTATAAGAAACATTGCCCTAGGAACCATGATAATCCACAGACCTCTTGTTAAAAAGGTTGATCGGAACTACTGTCTACTGTAAAATACATCGATGTTTCCAATTCAATCTGTTAACAGTAGTCTGCAGATGATCTTTCTGGATGTTTATGCAAAGACACTTTAATGTTTGACTCTTTCAAATGTCATTCTTTATTGCTCTGAGCAGCACCAACTATATTTATTCTCCTCTGTGGTATTGAGGAGGCCGTTTCAGAGGGAAAAACACTAGCAGAGCAAATGATCTAACTGGGTTAAAAAGAGAGAGTAAGAAATGGTGTTTTACTCTCACTATATCTCTTCTATCACACATGAAGTTTCAGAAGTGGAAACATCCAGTCAGAGGTTGTGTAGACCGACAAATTCCTGCACTGGGTGGATCCACACCCGTCAGAATGGGTGATTCAAACCGAGGGGTGGGAGACTCCTCCTCTGCCCTTCTCCAATGTACCAATCTACCTAAACAATGAGGGCGCTGCGCCTAGCAACAGAGCAATTTTGTTCGCCAATGGGGAGGGAGGGCTTTATGAAATGTAAAAAGTGTAAGAAGAAAGAAAGTCTGAGGGCTTTGTCAAACCACACAACTTGTGAAGAATTGATAAGTCCTGTGACTAGATTAAATCATTGTATTTCATGTTAAGATTTAGTGTGTAACTATTATAGATCTACTGCATATGGACCTCTCTAAATTGCCTTCCTTGATTCTATAGAGGAATAAAGACATTTTGAAAACATGAAAATGTAAAGAAACCTCATATCCAAACATCAAAATTATTTTATTGAAAAATATTATTAACAACTTTGCAGCCACACATTCTGATATATGTGTTTACAACCCTGCATTTCAACATTATTGCACTCGTTTGCCTTTGTATAGGAAGCAGTTTATTGTCAAACCTGATGATAAATTATGTAAAGTTACTCACAAAGAACCAGATATGATCATGTGAGTGAAGGGGAAAGAGACCCAGTACAGCTTGGAGCAGTTCTGGGTTGAGCTTTGAGCAGAGGGAAAACTTTACACAGAAAACCACATGTGTTTGTAAAACCATCGCCAAAACCATGGAGTGACTCATGTAATTGGACTGTAGTCTAAATCTGAATCACACAAACTAGATTTTTCTTTGCAAGGCTGAACTTCATCTGTAAAAAAAATACACTGACCCAAACACAACAGTGAGCACATTCCAGATAAATCACACATATGCCTCGAGGTCCAAAAGTTCAAAAGTCTTTGATAGTGGACACAAAAAAAGTAAAGAACAAACTTAATCGTAGTTCAGTCTCTGAGCACAAAATGTCTGCTGACAAGTCTTTTAAGGAAGTGCCTGTAGAGTGGGGGGAGATTAGTTTTCTTTTCCACCGCATTCATTTAGTCTTTTCCTTTAATCTCAGAATCTCAGGATGTGACAAGGCTGTATGAAGGAGCGGGTGTCTCAGGGGAGCTTTTTCCAGGCATCTTTATACCGTTTAACTCGATCAATTTGCGTTTCGGGGTGTGGCGATTGTTGTGAATGGATACACACCATTCACGGCATCGCTTGCCAATCAGGTAGACGATTTCAAAAATGGAGAGGAGGATGCAGGCCAGGCTGGTGACCACCATGAAGATGGTGAAGATCCGTTTCTCGGTAGGTCGAGCGATGAAGCAGTCCACCTTGTTGGGGCAGGGCTTCTGTTCACATTTGATCAGCGAGGGAAAGTCGTAACCCTCGTAGATGTGGTAGAGGAGGTAGACGAAGGTGGTGTCCACACCTATTTTGAAGACCAAAGTGAGAACGTAGGTCCACCACAGGCCTCCACGCTTCTTGCCCGTGTTCAGGTAGAGGCTTCTGCAGTTCTCGCCATACTTGAGCCGGTGTTTGCGCTCCCTGTCGTCCCTGTAGGCCACATGCATCGTCACCAGGAGAGAGGGGCAGGTGACGAAGATGAGCTGCAGGGCCCACAGCCGCACGTGGGACACGGGGAAGAAGTGGTCGTAGCAGACGTTGTGGCACCCGGGCTGAGCTGTGTTGCATTTGAAGTCTTTCTGTTCATCACCCCACACCTTCTCTGCGGCCACCACAAACACCAAGACCCTGAAGAGGAACACGATAGAGAGCCACACTCGGCCGAAGACTGTGGAGTATTTGTTCACTCCACTGAGGAGCCCCTGGAGGAATGCCCAGTTCATGACGACGTTTGTTCACAGTCTTCTCTTCCTGCTGATGGAAGACAGAGGAAATTCTTTTCAGCTGAACAGGCACAGAGAAAACCAGGTAGCCTATCTACCGGCCTGAGACAAAATAAATCACAGTCACACACATAGAAGAGGGATAAAACAACTAAGAAACAAGTTCCGGCAAAACTGGGTTAATATCATGATAATCCCGTGTTAACATATATGTAACGCACACTATAAGATCAAAAACAACACAATGAACAACACAAATGTCCGCAATTTCTTTATAATATAAGATGTTTTCTTATTCTACAAGCAGACACCTTTTTTAATCTCGTTTTGTGCCGAAACAGTCAAAAAAATATTACTGAATCACTTCCAAATGACTACGGTAAACTTTTTAAAGTTTGGACATTCCGTCAGCAATTGCGCGTATCCACAATATCCACGTCTAAATGCTACACAATCGGATACATCCAAACATGTTCGCGTTATCATCCTATTCCGTATTTAACATATTGATTTGAATACTTACAGTTTAGCCGCTGCTGTTGTGCTTCAGTGTCGGAGCGGAAGAGCAGCTTGGATGAAGCTCTCGGATGAATATCTCAGGAGATTTCTCAACAGACGGGAGTGGAGGGGGTGGAGTTGTTTGCCATGTCTTCTTCTCTCCAATCAACCTGCTCAGGTGTGGCAGCCACACTGTAACAAACGTGTTTATGCGATTACGTATGGATATAGGGTAACGTTTGATGTACCGTTTATGTCAAAATAGGCATCATGCGTTTGGATCAGATTGGATTGATCAGACGTCCTGCAAGTTCATTATTTACATGAAACCCATTAAATGAAGAAAATGAAGAAAAAACTATTCAATACAAACAATAAAATCATGTTAAATAAAGATATTTTGTATTTGTATAAAATATCAGCGCATGAACAAAGCACATCATCTGTTTTATTTACATAAACTGTTTATCCTGAACTATAAAGGATGTTTTTGTATACTCTTCCTCGCTGTTAGGTTACTATTTACGTTTTATAATCATTCCAGGCATGGTACAAATTGACATCTGTGTTACTATAGCTTTAATTCATTCAATTGCATCTTGAGATATTGCAGTATTTTCATATAATTATCTTGTTTTTCGACAGATCTTTTCATATTTACACTATACTATGATTTTCTTTACATTTTCACCAGACTTGACTATGACCTCTTTTCAAATTGTTCGACATATCATACAATAACTTTTTTCAACATGCCAAACTATTATTGAATTGTTTGTTTGTTTAAGGGAGGCGTGTGGTGCAGTGGGTTGTGCGTTGGTGTTCGGGTCAGGGGGTCACAGGTTCAAACCCCACTGCATGTCGTTGTGTCCCTGGGCAAGACACACCCCAAGTTGCTCCTGTGGGGATTGCCCACAGTATTGAGTATGTAAGTCGCTTTGGATAAAAGCGTCTAACATGTAATGTTTGTTTTTTTCAGAAATCTTCGACATATTCTGTCATTTTTCTATCGTATTTTCTAATTAGATGACTTTGTATTTTTGTTTACTATTATCGACATGCAATATGACTTTTTTATGAAATGTTCAATATACTATACTTTGGGTTTTCTTCAGATATTTTCTATACAATACAATGAACATTTTCAGGCTTTTTGGACACACTGTACATAAAAATATCCATTCAAATCAATGGAAAACTATTCTATTTTATCGAAAATGACATAAGGACTTTTCATATTCTTTAACACAATACACTATGGTTTTATTCATATTTTCAACATACTGTAACCAACATTACCATTTGCAAACTTGAGGTGAAAGCTGACCAAAGGTCAAAACATGTTCAACACTTGCTGGTGTCTTGACTGTAATAGTTTAGGAAGCGGTTGATTTGATATGCATCGCTAAGAGCATTGGCCAACCATTTCCACTCTTTTTGTACCAAGGAATAGAAATCAAGCTGTGGTTTCTTTATTAAAAAAAAAGATGTTTATTGAAATATTTACATGGCAGACAATGTGGGCTCAAAGAACAAAATACCATGAACACACTCACACTGTCAGACATACACTGCGGCCACAGACACATACAAGCAAACACACACTGTTTTGGTCACTCATATTCTCCACAGTCCGAGATGATGACTTTCTGCTTCGGCTTGCCGTCTTTATTTCCCTGAGCCTGCAAAAAGAAAACACAATTATAAAAAAGCAATTACATCTAAAGATTCATCCTGATTGTCTTTAACCTTTACAAGCTTTTATAGTTAAATAACCTGCTATTATTAATATAACATTAAACCAATATAGTGAGTTTGTAATGTGTACACTTTTAAGTGAGATGATGAACAGAAAGTTTATTCACAGGTAGCAAATAGTGATGGACATTGTTTTGAAATAAATTGTGTTTAAATTGAGAGCATTTAAACCAGAGGGTTATGTATTGTGTAGCTCATTATGATCACTGCATTGAAAAAAAACCTTCAGTTGTATTTAATAATAATAATACAGTCTGAGTGAACCCTTTATCCCTCACCTCCATTTCACGGAGCACATCCATGCCCTCCACCATATCTCCAAACACCACATGTTTGCCGTCCAGCCAGTCTGTTTTGTCAGTCGTGATGAAGAACTGGGAGCCGTTAGTGTTTGCTCCAGAGTTGGCCATGGAGAGCTGGCCTGTGAACACAAAAAAAACAAGATTGTAAACAGTTATCCACAGAATCTGTAAACCATGATGCTGATTCACACTCAGACCTCCGACACAAACACCCACACAAAACTCCTCACCTGGCGCTGTGTGCTTGAGGACAAAGTTCTCATCATCAAACTTCCGGCCGTAGATGGACTTGCCCCCGGTGCCGTTGTGGTTTGTGAAGTCTCCTCCCTGGCACATGAACTGAGGGATGACGCGATGGAAGCAGCTGCCCTTAAAGCCAAAGCCCTTCTCATGCGTGCACAGGCAGCGGAAATTCTCTGTAGAGAATGAAAGAAAAGATGATGAGGTCACTTTTTGCCAATTTTAGATTTAGGGGGGAATGATAAACACTTTTTTTTTTACGATCGACTCCTGTAGAATTCAGTGTTAATTATTTATGCAAGCACACTTAACATTGTACAGCTACAACATATATTGTTGACAAAGATATGATGTTGAAAGCCCTACAGCACACACACCTGCTGTCATGGGAACAATGTCGGCCCGAAGAAGGAATCGTAGTCTCCCCGCTGCCTTGTTTCCAATCTTGATGTCCATGTAGACCTGAGGATTAACTCTGCCCTTTTTAGCCGGGGGCTCAGCCTGCAAAAAACAACCAAATCATACTGATGTCACTATCTTGACATAGTTAAGGGTGGGAGCCATCAACTCTTTTTAGAGAAAGCCGCCTCACCTCCTCTGTTGCAGTGGTGGTTTTCTCTCCAGCCGCTGCCTCCCCGTCAGCTTCCTCTGCGGTCTTCCCCGAGAACTTCTTCAGCCAGTCGTCGTCCGACCACACTGACAGAAAAGCAGATTTAAATTAAGAATAAAGGATTTAATATAATTGAACCTAAGAACTCTATAAGCTGTTTTTAAATTACCTGGTCGAGAAGATCCTTCTTTGATCCTCATGGGCTTGGCAGTGTTGACTCGGATAGTCCGCCCGAAAAGCTCAGACTCATTCTGGCAGAAAGAGCAAGAACATCAACATTAAAACAGAAAGCTAGAAAACAGAAAACTTTAACCTTTTGGGCAAACTCACATCAGCTATGTCTCAGAAACAGAATAACATTCTCACTTACATGATTGTGCAACACAGTGATGCACTTACCATGTTATCAATAGCTGCTGCAGCATCCTACAGAAGAAAAGGCCATAAATGTCATGAGCACAGAAATATGTATAATTGAAATCCTTACTATGTGTTACCGTCCATGTTTACACTGAATTCAACAATCAAGCAAAGATACAAAATGTCCTTATCAGACAGTAGTGCAAATAATAATAATACATTAAGCCCATTCATATTGATATGCTGTACAACAGCCATATTAACAAGGATGTACATAACAGTACAATCCCAAGCAGATAAATTACTATGTGTTGCAACCCTTTTTTTAAACTCAGATAGTGTCAAGGTGTGTCCATGTTTAACTTTTCTCAGTGCAACTACACACTGATTTTAGCCTATTTTAATATATGTATTGGCCTTTTCATGTAAATATCTGAATATTGTTACTTTCAGTGTGTACTTTAGATAAGTACCAGTACATACCTCTCCCAGTTCAAACTCAATGAAGGCAAATCCTCTGTGCTTTTCTGAAAACAGATCATTAGACAGACACATTATTTCAGTTTATCTTGGCCACAGTGATAAAGTGTTGCAGAAACAGAGCAGTTACTAGTCTTACCTGTTTCATAGTCTAATGGTATCTGGATGTCTGTAATGTCTCCAAACGGAATAAAAGCTGCATGTAACACCTTCTCATCGACCTCCTCTGCCAGGCCACCTGACAGAACACACCAAAATGATGAAATGTATATTATTGCATATTAGCGGAAGAGCATAACGGGACAGTTTAAACGTGCTGCGTTCAATAACCATATGTCCATAGGATTTCCTGAAGCTTACGCTTATATTTATATTTTACTAAATTCATTCAAAATTCTTTAACAAGTTGACTATAAGTACTTTCTCATGTTAAAAATCGGCGAAGTTGCCATGTTTTCAGGAGACGTTTTCAAGTTTTACCGGCTAAACCTTTTCCTTCCGGAGGTTTTCTTGCACTATATTCATATTTTCATTTAGTTACTTCAAATATTTATAAAGTATTGACCTTAATATGTTTGATAAATGTAGTGAAACTATGTAGTTTCAACGATTTTTAAGAAAAAAAACATTAACTTACCAACATACAGCACTCGTTTGTTAGCCGCCATATTGGATGTTACCCCTCAACTTTGACCCCGCAGATTGTGATTGGTTCAGTGAGACTAAAGCCCGCCTCCCAATGACCACGTTTCCTGAGGCGCCATCTGTCGGAGGAAACGGGCACGACTCCTATTCACTTTAATACTAGGCTTCATTGGACAGTACAGTAGGCTATTACAAGTTGTACATTCAGCTGTAGACTATCACCACAGTCCTTCTATATTTGGGATTGGGAAGGTCCGTTTGACCAGTTTTATCTATCTTGTTCAGCAAATATTCCAAAACTCTACATCTACTTTTTACGATGACTATTTGGATATAAGTGAGATCGGTAAGATTTGCATTTGAGAAACAACTCTTCCTTGTTACATGTTTGAATAATAATATTAATGATGACTTAAGCTGTTTCGGATAGGGACATGCCACTTGTTATAACATGAAAAGCACAGGAAATTATATTATCATTCATATGCACTGTTTGTGTTTTACTGCCCCGGTAGGCCTATGCCTCTATGCACAATTCCAGGATCCTGAAACAGCAGTTGCCAGGTTTCAATCATTATTTTACCTCTGATTTTCCCACGCTGATAATGTCCAAATATCATCTGTGGAAGAAAAAAAAGGCCTGTTGAGTATGCTGGCTCACACTGTAATCACTTACTGGGACACCTGTGCTTTCTTACAAGTCCAACTGCTGTGAAAAATCTCTGACTATTGTGGAGCATATTTTATTTTACCTTTCTCTATTTAAAAGGGACATTTTAAGA